GCCATGTAGGTGAGACTTTATGGAGAATAGGTCTATGGGCAGTAGTCTGACTCCCTAGGGATAAGATAGGTAGGATCGATGAGGGGTCCAAATAGGAATGCTGACCTTATTGGGGAAGAGGTGACAAATGTGGGTCTTTTGTATCCTTGAGGATAGAATAACTAAGTGTAAAGCAGACCACTGGGGATTGTAGCAGTAAAAACGACCCTAACTCCACTGGGATAATAGTATGTGTATGGCTCTCTTACTAAGAATGAGAAGTCATGACCTGAGTTTAATCGACCTGAGTTTCACTTTGCTAGGGATAATAGGTCCAAGTCAAGGTGCAACTTCATTAGGGATAATAATGATAGGACACACACAGCTTCAGCCTGGAGTAGGCGACAATAGGCTGTTTAAAATACAGCTAGCGCCAGGTGCAACAACCATTATTTCTTGAGCACTCAATCGGTGCTAATTCTTCGAAAACGCAACTGGCGCTGAAGACAACCAACACTACTTCTTAACTAGTCAGCCGGCACTAGGTTGTTAAAAACACAGCCAGCGCTGAGGACAGTCTGTGTGATTACTTGAACACAGTTGACATTGAGTTGCTAGACGCACAACCGGTGCAGTGCTATCGCTTGGACATAGCTGGCATCGAGTTGTCGAGCACACAGCCAGCGATGTGGTTGGTGAAGCACAGGCGGCGCTAGGTAACTTCGACTGCATAGCCGTTGCTGGGTGAGGATCGATATTTGAGCCATGACCCGAGCCGGACCTGGTCCAGCCCGCATGTTGGAATTTTACAGGTGGCGATGAGAGTTTCCTCGGGCCTCGGGTCAAAGCCCGACCCGACCCATCGTCATTTGGCTTTCCAGGACACAACTGGAACTCCCAGTTTGTGAGGGGTGTTTGAGGGTAGTGTTGGCTGTATAAGGGGGTAAAACCTCATTTTCCTTCACTTTTTAACCGAAGGTAAAAGGAAAACTTAAAAATTTTAACGGTGAGCATAGTACAGCTCGAGCACAGTGCAGCTCGCATGTGGCAATAAGTTACGTGTGGGAATATGAGCTACATACGGCGATGTTCATGGGCCGGCAATGGGTGGTGAATGATGGTAAGGCATGTCTTGTAATACCTATTGGAAGTCAAGTCCTCCAGCACAACAATGAATTCCATGTTGTTCTGTAGAAGGGTATCCACTGTGAACAGGGTATGCTCTCCGTCATAGGCCAGTTCCTTGCTAGAGCAACCTGCTTTATATGTTTGATACACACGACGAATGAATTTTGCCTTATATGTCTGATATACACGTCAAATGAGATCTCTGGCTTGTATGTTTGATATACACGTCGGCTGAACTGAAGCTAACTTCTCCAAGTGGTTTCACTTCGTCTTTTAGCTTGTAACCATCCTCTTATGGTGGCACTGGTCAGATGAATTGAAGCTGACTCTCCAAGTGGTTTTGCTTCTTCTTCATGATGAGGGTGCTTCTTTGGTGGGTTCGCTTCTTCTAATAGAGCAATTCTTTTGTGGGTTTTCTTCTTCTAAGAGCAATTGTTTTGGCCTATAACCGTGCTCTTATCCTCATATGCAAGAGCAAAACTACATATTTTGGTTTGCAATCGTCATTTTATCCTCAGATGCAAGAGAATCGTAACCGTCCTCTAGTAATGGGCTTTTTAGCTTGTAACTCATTTTTGCTGCAATAAAAAGAGTTAGACTTTGTTTGGAATGTCTCGCTTATTTTTGCATTGAGTCTCTTTCCTATGAATATGCTTCACAGATAATACTTCTTTAGGTATCACCCATTGATAGGGGGCACTACCTCCTCTCCCTCAGGATGTGCCAGTTTATAGGCTCCATTTGGCGAGACTTATTTTAATATAAAGGGACCTTCCCACTTAGGCTCAAGTTTCCCTTTACACCGCCCATGCATAACAATAGGCCTCTTGACAGCTAGAACTAGATCTCCACGGGTGAATGAGCTAAC